TTTTACCGAAAAACTTCACTGGGCATGAAAAGAGTTGTTAAAAATCTCTGCCAAATAATCTTTTGGGCAGGGAAGAAAATTCTGGATCAGATGTTTGCATATGACTTCTCCTATTGCGTTGTCTTTTACCCCCACACAAAATAATTATTTTCTTGTCATCCTATTCATTGCTAAGAAAAAAATAATTGTGTTGTCATAAATGACAAGCTATCTTCAAATACGGAATAATAGAGTGAAGTGTATGAATTCCAAGACAGAGATCTATCATGTCTTTTCATGAAAAAAGTGTTCTTAGTATTGAAACTAAAGACAGAGATTAAAAAAAAAAAGAAAACGTGTCAACATATTTCTGACAGTATCAGGATATTTATGAATTTTTCTGCCATGCTCCCTTCCAAACCTGACTTTTTAAAATAAAACACTGGTTTAAAAAATGGCTAACATTGCCTCAATATGTATGTAACTCAGACTGGCTAATGAATTATTCTCCTGCTAACATTCATTTCTGTATATTTTCTGGTTTCGCTAAATCAAAACACCAAAAGCAAAATATAGTCCTTAGGGATATCTAGGTATAAATCCTTCTACAATGCACTTGCATCTATGAAACAATATATTTTACTGGTCCTTCTGCAGGTGTGACAGGGATTTGTGCCGTAAAAAAACCTCTCAAAACCACAATATACAATATAGCTGCACCTTCCTTTGGATTATTAAAGAAATGACAATAATCTGCATAAAAGAAATTCAGTCCTCAGTTTGAGGAGGCACTGCCCCAATACTTTATGCAGGAAAGTTACAATTTGAAATACATTTATGGAACTGCTATAGTTCTTATCTACATGCATTCTCTAAATCATGACATAGCTAGATCAGAAACTGCAAACAATTTTTTTCTCTTTGCTTCTTTATTTGCTTGGATTAAGCTTGCCCCACTGCGCAGCTGTCCTGCAAAAGGAAATGCAGAAGCAGGTAATAAACATTTTGATAGTTCAGCCCTCCCTGCTTCCCACTCGGCAGTTCCCCTTCCCAGTCTCTGCCATTGCCTGGTCCTGTTCCCCAGCCACATCTCGGCATCCTCATCCCCCACAGCCAGAGGAGACCCTCGACCTCTGCCAGTGTTTACTGATAACAAGTTCAAGTGTTTTGGCAACTGATAAGGTGTGCTGTGGCTTTTGTAAATTATACTGTAGGTAGCTCTGCTTGAAATTTTGTCTTTCTAAGAGTCCATGAAGTACAGGGTCAGATCACAAATGGTGGCTTTGAAATGTGTTTTCTGTTTCAGCATCTGAAAACATCAGTGTCTGTGATATCTGGTAGAGGGACCATCCTAACTGTGTTCAGTTTTGGGCCCCTCACTACAAGAAGGACATCGAGGTGCTGGAGCGTGTCCAAAGAAGGGCAACGAAGCTGGTGAAGGGTCTGGAGCACAAGTCTTGTGAGGAGCAGCTGAGGGAGCTGGGGTTGTTTAGTCTGGAGAAGAGGAGGCTGAGGGGAGACCTTATTGCTCTCTACAACTACCTGAAAGGAGGTTGTAGCGAGGTGGGAGTTGGTCTCTTCTCCCAAGTTACAAGCGATAGGACAAGAGGAAATGGCCCCAAGTTGTGCCAGGGGAAGTTTAGCTTGGATATTAGGAAAAACTTCTTCACCGAAAGGGCAGTCAGGCACTGGAACAGGCTGCCCAGGGAAGTGGTTGAATCCCCATCCCTGGAGGTATTTAAAAGACGGGTAGACGTGGTGCTTGAGGACGTGGCTTAGTGGTGGACTTGGCAGTGCTGAGTTAACGGTTGGACTCGATGATCTTAAGGGTCTTTTCCAACCTTAACGATTCTATGATTCTATGATTCTAACAGCCTGTGTTTGGTGTTTCGTTATAGAAATGACAACACTGAAATCCAAACATGTTGTGCTCCTAAATTATTTGAATGGTGAAAGGTACACACAGAAGCGGAAGTTATGATGCAGGAGGAAGGGTCTAGGGTGTTGTGAAAATAATTTATGTTTTGCCTGCAAAAATTCGGAGGAGAAGGAGGAATTTTAATTTAAAATTTCTCTTGGCATACAAAAAAGATTAAAATCTTCAATTTCTTCAAAGGTAAATTTGAGTTTAGTTTACTAGTTTCTCTTATGTTAAAAAAGAGTGACAAGTGTTGAAATAAAAAGTGGTTTTGAATAGAAAAAATATTCTGATATCTTCTGAATTAGAAAGAGAAGAGTTTGACTGAATAAATGAAGTAAATTTGATAGCATTTTATTTTGGCTGATCCAAACATACATTTTTCAGTGAAAAAGTGTTTCAGACAGCAGCTAGATCTACTCAGAGGACTATTACCATATGTGCAGTTCTTTCCAGCTCAGTTTCCTTATAAAAAACAATCCCCACAATCTGCATTTCCCTTTTCCTCTTCCCCCATGAAAATAAAACCTACAGCACATCCATATTAATCTCCTCATTTTTTCTTTCCAAAGTTCTGCTCAGCCCATGCTAGTCCTGCCACAAACTCTCTTTGTATCTGTGTCCTCCCTTCATTCCCTCAAACCCTGCATCCCAATTTTCTCCAAACCCTTCATCCCTCCTTCTAGCTACTCTGCTTCTCTGTTCAAACAGGACATTTGGGAGAGCAGAACAACAGAAAACAGCAAGGCAGGCTTGGAAAACTTGAAATAACTTACATGTGCAAGTTGCTCCAAGAGGGCCAAGTTTTCATTTGGTTTAAAACAGGATAATTCTGCTGACATGATAAAATTAGCACTAATTTAGAAGTTTTCCTATTACAATTTCAAACTGGCTCACACTTGAGATGTGGACTGCATGTGTGTGTGAGAGAAAAACAAAATCTAGAGCGATGAAGATTGTTGGTCTGTCTTTCTCTCTGAAACATAGGAAAGTCGAGCATTGACAACATGGAACACCGGTTTTAAGTTTTGTCTGAAAAAGCCACCAATCACTTTACTGCACAAAAATCCTACGCCCCAAAAAATAATTGTGTTTCCTGGGGAGGGATACAATATCAAACCAGAACAGAAAGTTCCAGGCCTGATATACGGCTTTAGTCCATCCTTAAAGCAAGTCTTGGTGCATCCTGACTCACGGTGTTGTGACTGACACCTACATGAAATCAGCTGCTGGGCATAGTTATATCCATCTGCTATTTTTGCTAAACCTCTGTATCTCACATTAATTGCAATTGCCTATATAGCTGGTTTTGCTGTATCCAGTGGAGAGAAGAGCAGACTTGCTCTGGAGTTGGCAGCCAGAATGAGTCACACTGTAGACCTAAAACCACTTAAATAGAGATGATACAGTGATGTGTGAAATAATTTCTTCAACTCGTGTGTTCCACAAATATACATTTTGACTCCTGTTTTCCTCTTTTGATTTGCTAAAATCCTTAAGTCCCTTTACTTCTTTCCTAGGATTATGCTATGAAACATTCAGCATTTTGCAAGCTTGCACCCATACTTGAAAACTTTCTTCCCATCACCCTCCCTCCCCAAATTTACACAGATCAAAGCTGATGAAAGAGTAGCAGTAGTAGTTCCACTGCTTGGTTAGGCACTCTGATCTGCTAAAATCTAGATGTAGAGCAAAGGAATCTAAAAAAAAATATCCCAAAGAGTGGTTCTCAGGCAGCTCTTTTGTGTGGGGATCATATACTTGACACCATGCCTTATGTGGAATGCACATCAAATCACCTGGAGACTCCACATCAATGGTAGTTATGTGCATGCATGTACTACAAAGAGAATAGACCCTTAAACCAGTTGGGTGCATGAGACAAAAAAAAAAAAAGTCTAAAGACTGTAAATCTAAAGGAGTACATCAACTTTTTCTTTTAATTTACCTCTCTGCTCTGCCTTATGCTTTTGGTTTGGTTTTTTAATGTTTTAATGGATGGATTTTAAAAAAGGACTTCCCCAGTGCAGCCAGTGCTTTATTTTATAAGGTTCTGTCCTTAATCTAACACATCTGTGTTATCTGATCCAAGACTGCCCATAGGATAGAGGGCCAGATTCTTAGCTCTCATGTACTCGTCTTATAGACTTCAAGGAGGTTACACTAACTGCAACAAGTCAATGACTTGCTCTTGTTTGTTGTTGAACTCTTAAGTGTTACCATATTTTTCCTTTAACTGTTACTGAAGTCCATACCAAGTACCACTCAGACAAAACGATTTCCTCTGTGCTGAGCTGATTTTTGCTCCAGGCTGGCATTTACTAATTTCAGGGAAGTTTTGCTATCACAGTGAACAGGACCAAAACAAGCCTCTTGTAGGAGTCAATGGACTTCAGTATTTAGAAAAAGGATTTTTGTACCTCAGAACTGAGTCCTGGGTTAAGGTCCATTTGCCCCTTTCAATCTAGGAATGGCAGGGATGTTATAATAGAAATTGAAATAAAATAAAACAGAACAAACAAACATACAAACAAATAGGAAACTGCCTATTTGTATTCCAGGATGAAGTGGGTAAACTCTGAGTTTACCTTCCACTACCCACTCAAGAGTGAAAGGCACTACCTTTCCCTGATCCTGGCTAATTTTTCAGTGATGTGAATAAGCCCGATGGACCTGTCCACTAAACTGCATAAAACTTCAGTAAAGCCAGGCATGTGCTCACAAGCTCCATGCCTCTCCTACTGCGCCTCCACCAGCTGCTACTATAGCATTCCTGGGTTTTTGCCCACCCTGCTGCTGGGCAGTCCATCTTAAACAGAGATTTCTGACAACATCAAGGAGAAAAATTTAACAGGACTTTCCCTGTGATGTTGGACCAGGCTCTGCTACTGTCAAGTATGGCCATCCTCTCCCCTCTGGGAGTCCCCACCTTTTTCTCCTCATCCTCCCTCCCCAGACTGCTTTCTGAGATGCAAAGAAATAAGGATGACAAGCAAGGGCAACCAATTCCATATTTCATGCACCAAATCCCAGCTTTGTTTGCAGCCCGCACACGCGCCCTGACCCCAGGTGATGGCAGCCCATGAGTTTGCAGCACACCGCTATGGTTTTGTGCCTGGATGGGACCAAACACCCAACAAGGGAGGCCACGGAGAGAGAACGTGGTCCTCTGCTGCTGTGGGACATATGCCTCCAAACAAGCTACTGGTCTCAAATGTTGGGAGAAGAAAAGCAAAAGGAAGATATGAGGCCTGCAGGAAATGTATGTTTCCACAGAAGCGGATAATAAGTGCATTGTGGGTTTGCATGGGTTTTAACCAGAATCTCTGGTGTTACAACCTGTTTAACGGTTACTGTCCACCCAGTTGGCAGGTACACTAAGCATACAAACTGCATAGACATGTTAAAAGAAGGAGGAAAAGTGACACACAACTCAGTGCAGGGTATGAAATAGAGCAGAATAGATTAGCTGTTGATGTTAGCTCAGAGATCTGCAAAGAAAAACTCCTTTCATATATCTGCGAGCTATGGTGCATCCCCTGGTTTTTTTTAGACGTGCACAAGGAGCAGAAGTGACTCCACATCTAAACATGGCCTACAACTGCTTCAGGGTGCTCCTCTTCAAGGCTGGTGTCAAGGGCAGAGTGAAGGCCCGTCTGCGGAGAACTGGTGTGCCTCTCCCCCTCTCAAGCCCTACAGAGGATTGCAGGAAGCCCTGCAAGCCTAGCTCTTTCAGTAAATCATGAGAACACCTAAATAATTCATAAGTGTGGTCTGTATGAATGCTCCTAGGAGGTTGTCCTTGTTTTGGGCAGTAGGATGACTGCTCCGTTACAGACCTGAAGTTCACTGATGTTGAGACATGGGGAGTATAAGCATGGGATAGCAACAGGCTCAAACAGCATCAATGTACACCATCCAAGTTGAAGTTCACACTGTAATAGCAAACCCGGGTCTCATGTCTGTACTTTAAGAAAGATACGATGACATTGGAGTGAGTGTCAACAAGACCTACACAGGTGGGTCTAGAGACTGAGGACAAGGGCAGACAGCTGGAGAAACAGCTCCAGGTGGTTACATGTACTAAAAGGAAGCATGAGAGAGGGTTTAATCTCCTTACAGGATGAAAGACCATGCACCACCTAATTTAGCAGGAATACTCACAGGAAACAACAGCCAGAAGCTGAGGACGGAGAGTTACGCTGGAACTAAACCAAGCTTCTTACTGCACAGGTAATTAACTATTAAAACAATCTCTGAATTTCCATGATGACTTCTTCATGTTTTAATACTGCCATCTTAAGAACAACTACCTTTTGGAAGCTATCTTTTATCCAAATACACACTTTTTTGAACTCAATACTATTGTAAGTGGATGAAACAAAATGGCCTGTAATGTATATAGGAAGTCATATTAAGCAATCTGATGTTCCCATCAGTCCTTAGACATTCTAAATGAACCCAGAAACTTCTTAGGGTGATGACAGATGTGGAGACTGCAGCTCCCAGAGCAAAATCCTCCGTTCCAAGCAATGCAACCAGAACGCTGTGATCAAGCCTGCCCGTTGCATGGTTTCACTGCCTTCTGCAAGACAGCATCGTCTGCAAGCTGGTCTCTTATATGCAAATTAAGAGCAGCCCTTGGGCCCTGGCGCTTTGCCAGTTCGACCCTCCTTTAAGTGAAGCTGGGCTCCGGGTTGGAATAAGCGCTTGGCTCCATATGGGGAGAGTGGCGAGTGCTCTCAGTTATTTGGTTCCCACTGATCCAGGCAGGAACTTGGAGCACTCTGTGTTTAAGAATTGCACCCTAGAGAAGCGGGTTGGTTTCGGTTTGTATTGCATTTTACGTCAGTAATTGGGTTAAGCAATTTCACCAGCTCCCATGAAGATACCTGAAAAATGTCACTACAAGCTAATCTTTAAATAACACGCTGCCCTTACGGTGCTGAGCCAGGGAACGCATCCCAGCTGGTTCCTACAGCCTTGTGTCCGGAGAAGCCTCTGACTGGTCCTGCTGTTAGTGTCTCTGCCTCTCCAGTCTGCTTCAACATGTTCACAAGTTCCTCCCTCTCTCTGTAGGTGATTCATTTTTCTGAACCCTGCAAACTGATAGCACTGCTAACTAAAAGATTGACCACTTCAAATGTTCATACATCGGTTCCTGTCAGACATAGTTTAATTTAAAGAATCACATAGGAGCAGCATGGAAGACCTAGTCAGCACTTCACATCAGGCTTCCAAAGCATGACACAAACATAAATAAAACTAGATCAAAGGAAAAGTAGGAAATCTTCTGTATCAAACAAAATTACTAACCATAGTTTTAATTCATGAAAAAGTAGGTTTTGTTGCATCTTTACAATTGAGGGTAAAAAAGGGTTAAAAAAGGTAAAAAGAAGGAAAGTAGTAGAAAATATGATCTTTCTAAAGCAGTGGCTGTTTGTTGTACTTAATTTGGTTTTCTCCATGTCTTACCAGTTCTGTGTATACTTTAGCAGAAAATGAATTTTGTCAAGTCACTAAAGATAAGATTATTGCAGATTCTTAGAAAGGGAAAGTATAAGAATACTTAAAATCCCCAAGGCCTATTTTATATACTCCACTCTAAGTGTTGCCGTGGATTTCAATGAGATCTACTCCCATGAAATTATCAAAAAGTTGAAAAAGTCCTTTACAGGCACCCAGGGACCAATCTGAAACCTGAGAGAGGGAAGGGAAGGGAAGGGAAGGGAAGGAAAGGGAAGGGAAGGGAAGGAAAGGGAAGGGAAGGGAAGGAAAGGGAAGGGAAGGGAAGGAAAGGGAAGGGAAGGGAAGGAAAGGGAAGGGAAGGGAAGGAAAGGGAAGGGAAGGGAAGGAAAGGGAAGGGAAGGGAAGGAAAGGGAAGGGAAGGGAAGGAAAGGGAAGGGAAGGGAAGGAAAGGGAAGGGAAGGGAAGGAAAGGGAAGGGAAGGGAAGGAAAGGGAAGGGAAGGGAAGGGAAAGGCTTCAGAGGGTTTGGATCACTGCATTTTGGACAAACAATTGGAATAACCTGTTGTTTTGATAGATCTCCTTTTCCACCGATTTCTGCAGCTAGTCCAGCTTCTGTATCTCACCTCAAGTTGCCAAATGGCTTTGCTCTTGCTCCTTGCCTTCCACACAGTTGTTTTAGCAAATAGGAATGCAATGCCTGCTAAACCTGACATCCTTCATCAGGTATTCCCTTGGGAAGCAGCATGGGAATGAGAAGCCAAGCCTGTTACCTTGTGGGTTCAGGCTGGCCCAGGAAGGACAGTGAGGAGAGATGGTACCTTTTGCTCTCTCTGGAAGAAGCAGAGTGCAGGGGTTCAGGCAGCTTCTTTGCACTGGTATGTGGTCAGCTCTCTGTCACAGAAGGGTCATGAAGGACAGTAAGGGGAGCTGTGGGGTGAGACCCCAAACCAGCCCTTCTCTCCCGGGAAATGTTTGGCCTTGCAGTGGAGGGAGTAACAGGGAAAACTGGGATTGCAGCTCCCCAGGACAGCTTTTGCCTAGAAGCTCCAGTGTGTTGTAAACTGGATGATGAGCATTTAGGGGCTGGCTGCTTTAATGACTTCCCTGTTAGTGGATACCACCTTGGAGGTGGCCAGGACTTACAGGGTCGAGCAGCGTTGGGAAGGCAAATGGAGTGAGGCCAGGACAAGAAGGGGGGTGAAGCAGAGCCAGGTCAGGAAAGGGGATGCAGCAGGGCTGGGCCAGGAAGGGGGGATCCTGCAGGACCAGGCGAGGGGTAGGGATGCGGCAGTTGGGCCAGGAAGGGGGATGCAGCAGGGCACAGGAAGAGGGTTGCCATGGGGCTGAGCTGGGAAGGCGAATGCAGCAGTGCCGGGAGAGGGGAAGCTGTGAGGCTGGGCAGGGAAGGGTGATGCAGTGAGCCTGGGCTGGGAAAGGGACTTCTGCAGGGCCGTGCGGGTACCAGCTCGGCAGCCGGGTCAGTCTGGGTAGGCAGAGCTGGAGGAGGGTGCTGTGGAAGGATACCTGGCCGCAGGAGCATTTCATAGCCAGCTGGCCAAGAGCGCAGCTGCAGGGGACATCCCCTCCCTTGCCCCTTCCCTGCCTGGCCCGGCCGGGAGCGGGCTGGGGGTGGCCGCCATCACCCGGCTCGGGGCTTTCAAGGCAAAAAGGCTTTTTGAACTCCTCCGAGTAAGATTACAGAAAAGTCTCACGGTGCCTGTTTAAACAAGTGTGTCTGAACAGGAAAATCAAATAGACAGGGAGCGACTTCAGTTTCTTCGCTTATACGATGTTTGAAATGATAAGCGAGGATATATTTTCACATAATTGGGCTGCGTCAAGGTACCGGCCATTTGATCAGATAGGGGCTCTCTATGTAGTCTCACATCAGAGGGCTAGTAAACTACAAATTAAGGCAGGCTTTAGATTTTGTCTGCGAAGTAGCCAAGTAAATTGAATTTTACCCCTAAAGGTCATAACGGGGGATGGGGAGGAATACACAAAAAGGGCAGAATAATGTACCAGAATAACTGAGTCGGAAAGAGTAAGGGAACAAAAGCATTGGAAAGGGCTCAATCACTCATGAAATTCCATAAGTATATGCCAATTAATATCTCTGGATCGACAGGGAGCTTTAAGAGCCCACACTTTCATCACTCCAAAGGAGGTCTATGGGAAGGCAAAGCTAGAGGGGCAGCGGAAAGGTAATGCACCGCAGCTCCATTGAAGGCTTTTGGTTTGCTTTTGTTCTCTTTGTTGGCAATTTTTCATTTTATTTGGTGTTTGCCTACTTGCAACAATACCTTGGGGACGACAGGACACCCTGGGACACCTCACACAGGCCGGTGGGGTGAGGGCCAGGGAGCTGTGCTCCGTCCCTCCATTCCTCCATTCTACCCCATTTGCTCTGGCATCGCAGGCCTGGGGACAGGCAGCCTGCCCTTCCTCCTGCTCCCCTGTCCCCTCACCTCCCCCCAGCCTGTCCTCAGCTGCCCCCAAAGTGGGGGGGGAGCTCCCCTGCCCACCCACCAGCCCCCGGGGGGGACTCCCAAAGGCCTGAGGGCTTCAAACCCCCTTTCCTTTACATGGCCGCTGCCTAAGCTGATCCCTCCTGCAAACCGAAGCCTGGTCCCCCCAGCCTTGTGCTCCAGACAGATTCCCAGGCTCCAGACAAAAAGGCCAGGGGGGCTCCAGGGGACCCGGCTGGCTCCCAGCCAGCCCTGCTGAAAGGGGATCACAACAAGCCAGATTTACTCCTAAGAACAAAGTTTCCGGTGACTTTCCAAGATGCT